AATAGTATTGGTCAATATTGAATTTAAACATATTATTGATATTTTTCTTCTCCTCTTTTATCATTTTTCTATTTGTTCCAATACTGAAGAGGCAAGTGGATCAAATAGTTAACTTGGAATTGCTTTATAAGGGAGAAGAATAAATTCTTAAAAGGTGATATTTTAATACGAGAAAGTATCAATGACTTAGACTTTAATAATATTGAAAGACCTATATAACAAATCATGTGCCTATTAAAGTTTACATTCAATCCATGAATTTGATAATTTTTTTTATTTAATACATTAATAAGGTTCGGATTTTTTTAAAATCTGGATGAACATATTGAATTTTTAGCATAGTTAAAATTTGTAGATTTCGCAGACTTAATCTACAAATTTTATATACTAACTCACTTTATAATAATATGTTTCATTATTTTAAGATACCAAGACTTTGATATTTGGTTAGTATATTTAGACATTTAAATCTTTAAGACATCAATAGTAGTGTTTGGTTAATGTATTTGAACCTTTAGATTTTTTAAATATTATAACTTTGATGTTTATGTAAGTTAGAAAGCATATAAATATTGATATCTTAAGAGTTTAAACTTTTATTTAAAGCAAGTATTTTAATATTTATAATACATTAACAAATTATTTATTATATATAATTAAATTTTTTAATAAAAATAAACTATATGTAAAATATACTATTATATTTAAAATTTGTATAGATCAATATTTTAAACATATAAATTATATATTTTTTTATTGTATCACAAGATTATTTTAAATTATTAATTAATTATTTTTAAAATATTAAAATTTAATTTATAAATAAGTATAATAAATAAAATTTAAATTAGATAAAAAAATTAAAATAATACTTAAAAATCCTCCAGTTAAAGAAATATACTTAAAAATATTTTTGTTAAAAATAAATCTTTTAAAAATACTTTTGTATAATATAATTATTCGTGTTTAATATATAAAAATAAATTTTTTTTTACATATGTATTTATATTTGTTTTTTATATATATTTATTTTCTTTTTCATGTTTTTATTACTTCAATGGAGAAGGAAAAAAAAATATCGTTCAATTTTATTGATTTTACAAATCCAACTTATCATTAAAAATGTAAAATTCACAATGGCTTGGATTCTTCTTCCTATAGAAGTGAGATGCATATTGTATTATTGTATTACAGAGATGCATATTGTATTACTGTACTACATGTACAATCTATAAATCCATCTTATTCTGATGTGTTTAAATTGTTACAAGTTCATTAGCTTTCACATGGTTTGTCCCTGAATCACACTATATTGGAAAAGAAGACTTGCTCTTATACCATTTGTAACATTCCTCAAATTTGACGTCAACAATTCCATTCCACGATATTTCACATGGTGACACTTCACATAACCTCTTGTTTGTCATATCCCTTTACCAATCAAAATCATCTATGGGTAGCCCTTTCTAAGATGTCCGGTTGCCTCTAAGATCAACGATCGCCCCCACAAATCAAAAAGACTTTTTAACATGCTTTGTCCTCACTTGCATGCTTTTTAGAAGGTTACCCATCCCTAAATTACTCTAAGTTAAACACACTTAACTGTTGAGTTCTTATGTAATGAATTACCAAAAAGTAGATGTATTTTGTTAGTATAGATAGTACAAATTAATTCTTTTAAATTATCCTGAACTGCATAGTCTCACACATGTATAATATATGAATCCCTCTTATTCTAATGCGTCTAGACTGTTACAATTGATGGTAGGACCAACATTTTATATTTGTAAAATTAGAAGAACTAAAATGTGGATTGGTGAAAATAGAAAAACAAAAAAATACAATTTAGCCTTAATTTTTTATCAGTTGGCTAATATTATATTAAATAATATATTTTTGTAACATGATATATATTTTCTTCTTCAATTATATTTTAATTTTATATTTGGGTTGTAGTTAATAATTAGTACATATATTAATTTGTATTATTATTCAAAAATATAATGATTGTGTGTAATATTTATAAATTTGATTTTTTTTATAAATACTAGTAGAGTTGAGATACTTCGTAATTTTATATATTTTATTTAAGTAAAAGATAAAATATAAAATAATTAAAATAGAAAATAAATGATAAATGATGAAAAGTATAAAAATAAAATGTTAAGGTGGAAAAATAATTATTTCCCATTACAAAGGAAAAATCGTGGTTAGTTTACAGTGCTAGGTACTAGCGACTGGTAACTAAAGTTTAACTTAAGGTCATTTTTTGAGTTAAGTAAACAACATAATTAGAAGAGATGACTATGATATTGAAGGATAAAATTGACTATTGAAAGTGAAAACAAAACTCTATAACCTTTTTATATATTGTTATATAAACATCATTTATTTTATATATAACATATAATATAAATAAAATAAATACAATTATTTTGAAAATCCAAATTTGTTCCTCCTACATTGCATTGACCAATATAATAACAAATGTATAATTTCTTTTACAATGTCATATACATTCTTTTAAAAATTTAGTCTATTAAATATTTTTAAGCAATTAAACCGTTCATATTCATTCTAACACTATTTAATAAATTTAAATATATTACATTTCATTATAACAAAATGATATGACTTTCATTACAAATGCTATACTACATGTATATATAGTCTCTCATTTAATTGATTTTTTTTTTAATTTTCTCATGTTATTTTTTTAAGATTATTATTAATGTTCATTCTTTTTTCTACAAATTTATGAGTTACACATCAAAATAGTATTTTCATTATTAAAAGATGGGTATCAAAAAATAAAACATAGAATTTATTTTATATGTTGCGGTGTAAGAATTAACACATATTAACGGAATACATATATGAACCATTTTTTTATGATTTCATAATAGAAACTTCATTCTCAAATGTTTGGTGTATAAAATGATAATATTATTAACATATGCATTAGTTATAATAGGCCAAAAATACATTAAACTTATTATTATTGTATATATTAATTTATAAAAGTTATATAATTAAAATTTTCTATTATTAAAAATAGAAATAACAAAAAATTTAAAATATAAACAAAATATACTTTAAAATATAAAACTAATAAAATAATTTATTTTTTAATATATTTATTATTACATAAAAGAGAATAGATCAAATGATAATACTGGTGTAACTATAATATAAAAAAGTTATCCCTATAAACATTTCTGATTTGAAGTATTTAGGTTTGAAGCATTTATACCGATCGAGTTCTACGCACATACCATACAACAAAAATGAGGAAATGAAAGAGTTGTTAGCCATATAATGAAGGAATGAAATCACGCACACTGTACCTCCAAACTGAAAAATGACTTCGATGAACTTGAATATCTGGATATCTCAACTCACATATAAATAAACTCTGATAATATTCATAGGCAAAATTATTCTTAATTAATGTCATAAATACCTTGTTGAGATGGAAAGTCCCCCCCTTCAAGAAACAACAATTTTTACGCTGAAATTTTGCATGATAGGCAAAATGCTTATTTTTCAAAAAAAAATTATTTTATTTTCCCTAGCAAAGATTTTATCTAGCTATGGTGAATGAGTCAGAGCTTACATTACTTTAGAATTTTTACATTAAGGAAAATGACCAACTTCAAACCAATGTAAACATCTTGTATGCGAATGCCATCTATAACTTATTAGCCACCTTTAAAAAGCATATAATTACTTCCTACCGAGGTTTGCACCCTTAACAGGCTATTGTTGCTTGGATATTAAATGTTTAAATGATAGATTTTCTTAAGTATAACACATAAGGTTATATTAAGGCAACAAAGAATAAATAACTCAAGCAAATGTCAACTATTTAGAAAGGAAATTGTGTTTGAAATACATATTCATACCAATTAAGATCCACCTGCACATGAAAAATAAGCTTTAAGCATCAATTAAGTTCCACCTACACATGAAAATTATGTATCAAATTCATGGCTTGAATGTTAACTTTTACAGGTACACGGTTTGTTATATATGTCTTTGTATATTATTAAATTCTAAGCCATCAATACTTTCTGGTATTAAAATATCGTCTTTTAAGAATCTATTCTTCCTTATAAAACAATTCTAAGTTAGCTATCCGATCCACATGCATCTTCAGTATTGAAGCAAATAAAAAAATTATAAAAGAGGAGAAAAAAATATCATTAATACGCTTAAATTCAATATTGACCAATATTATTACTATCATTGCAGGACAAACTCAATTCCGAAATTTCTCCCCATATTAAATTTTACCTTAAAAACTTTTATGTTCAAATATAACACACCCTAAGCGAAATTTTAGATTACTTAACTCTGAGTAAAATATTTTCCAAATTTATGGAAACATGAAATAACTCCTATCATTCTCAATTTTAACTGTTTTCTAAAAGGTTCTATTATTTCAAAAAATTTAAATTTCACATTAACAAGAAATTGAGTAATTATATAATATAAGTAAAAAATAATTCTCAACCTACAAATTTATTTTATAGAATTGAGTTAAATTCAAATTTACTATAATAAGATATATTAGCTTTAATGACATGAAAAGAAAAGAAAAACCTAAAAAAAAAAGTAATCTACTCTGCGTTGGTTGGTATTGTTTGTTTTTTTTTCTTTTCCGAAGTAACTAAAAAAGATTCTTCTCTGGTGAAGAATCTGATCGATTATTTTTAATGCCTAAAATCACATCCACAAGTGCGACAAGAAGTTTAATTTAGCGAAAAAAACAACACTGAAGCTCCAAAGTACAGAAAAATAGGCATTATGTGTCTAGCTGCATTTCTCATTTCTTTTTAACATATTCAAACAACATTCAGCGCATATTTTTATTTTTAAAATATAAAAGTATACAATTTCGCCTAAAAAATTCAATGTAAATAAAAGACTAATATAAGATTCTGAAACAAATATTTATTAATAACATAAATTAACATTTATAAATAAATTTAGCTTAGACTCCAAGTGTTTGATAAAAACCAAATTATTAAACATAAATATAGCTCAACAACTTAAACTGAATTCTCATAGATAAACGAAATTTCCTAAATAAAGCAAATGACCGATACAAATTAAATTGTTCAAAATATAAAATTAAAGTAGTTCTTCAAATCAGTCTAACATAAATTAAATTATCCAAGTAATCTTCATGCATGTTTTTCTCATCCCAATTGTGAACCTGCAAATAATAATTAAATGAAACTAAATATTAGAAATTGTTTAGCATTTGTACTAAAATTAAATGTTTTGTTGAATTCATGGATTGACATATTTGTAAAGGGTAAATTGGTTATCCTAATCAATGAAGGTCAAATTTCTTTATTTTGAATTCGATTCTACTCAACTAAAAAAAAAATTCTAAACCAATTTAACTAGTATAATTCATATTGTTGGATGTATCAATTCAAACAAAAACTCTAAACCCTAAACACTCTTACATAAACCAACTACAATATATTTTTTTTTAACATCATTGACTTTGACTCTAAAAGCTTCATCCTATTTAGTTAATTGAAAAATTATTTAAACCACTCATTGTGTTAAAACAGTCATATTCAGTTTTATCTTATTTAACTCAACATGACTTAGATACACTCAAATTAGTCTAATATGACGATTTCAAAATTTAAGATATTTATAATTTATGTAATTGAAATTATTTAAATATATATATTATATATCCTTCAACTTATGCGTTAATTACATAAAAAAAAGTATGTAACCATATGTCAAATTAAACAACATGCCTAAAATTATGATGGAATAATGTAGTGATAGACTAAATATGTTACAACAACTGAAAATTAAGAAAGCATTGAAGCATTTAAAGAGAAAACGCAATAGAAATTGGAAATAATAATAAAGCTACTTTACCAGGTCTTTTTGGTGGAGGAGACATTTTACTGCTGTGTTACTTCCAAGACAGCACAAACTGTTTGAACCACAGCGAGAAATAGAAGAATTATTCCAGCCACTGAAATCGCAATTTTCCACGGAGTTTTGCAATATTCACGCCTCAAAGTCGCCTTCCAAATATTATAACGATTTCCATAAAAACCATTCAACTTTTCAAAGATTTGATTGTAATTACAATTTCTATCTATTATCGTAACATCTTTGCAAAGACCATTAAACATGTTAGCGACAGAATCAACATCCTCTAGACAGTTAATTAGTACTTTCTTTTGAACCAGTTTATCTACATCTTCCTTAGTGTTTATAAGGAAGTCCATAATATCAACATAGTCAGTAATATAGGATTCATGAGGATAATGACACTGCTCCAAAGCCACCATATTATGAAACAAAATTTTAGTGTCATCTTCCACTATCAATTGTGGAATTCTAAGAATCCCTCTTGAAAATGTCAAGTTTAATAAGCAATCACTTTCGGTTTTAACCTTAAACCTCACTCCTGCTTCTAACAACTGAGTAGTACTAGGAAGGTGTGTCAATAATTGATTACCACTCCTAAGCGGTCGTCTTTCCTTAGGATGTTGCAAGTGAAAAATTCTTATGAGATCCGTGAAGTGCCTAATGCTAATATTATCATTAATGCTCACTTTGGATTTATTGTAATTGGAAAAATAGTGAAATGTACGCTCAATAAGGGAACGGGTAGATGTAGAGGTGAAGGGCTCAATAAGGGAACGGGTAGATGTAGAGGTGAAGGACATACTGTAGAGAGTCTGAAGAAGAGAGAAAGGAAGTTGGTTTTCAAGTAACAACAAATCTATTCTTATATAACACCTCAACCAATTTGTTGAAAGACACACGTCGTCGTTTGACCATCCTTCATGGTATCTGCAAAAGAGCTCAAGTATAAAACCGGAATCCACAAAGATGATCTTCACCAGTTCCTCTGTACTAATATTAAGGGTGTCTGAATAAAAGCGACGAAATTGGGGCTCCACCTCTTCTATATAGCGTTTCCAAGTATCAGAAGCTGTTTGAGTTCGTTGAAGAAAGGCTTTGCAATAATTGAGTTTGTGTCTTTCCATGTTAAAGAGGCGAGAATCGGAATTGTGGTGAAAGGGGCCTATAGAAACAACATTTGGAGTGTACGCATCTTGATTGTGTCTGCGAATAGGAAATGGCACTCTGTAGATGCAACACTCCCCAATTACAGGTGCCTCTGCCGTCTCCAGCATCTTATCAATGTCCACCACATTCATCATTCTAGTAAACATAAAATCAACAAAGTTAGAGTCAAAATGTTTAAAAACAAAAATAAAAATGAATATAATCTCAACCATATTACCAACTTTCTTTGGATTCAATTTCAAGTTTTTAGCTAGAGAGTTCTTTAACTTTTTTTTTTTTTTAACATATATCCGCATCTCAGTCACATTTAATATCCACCAATATGTAATATCTCTTGTACTACGATTGACCAAGATTGACCAAGACGTGATTTCTCCACCTCTCACTTTCTATCTGTATCCCTCTTCTCCCTTTCTCTATGTATACATAGAAAAATGCTGCATCCTCTGAAAGATGAAGTCAAAATTTCTTCTGAATTATTAAAAAATTCATTTAAATAATAAAATATTAAAATAAACAATTATTTTATAATAAATTTATTAAAAACTAATAATATTTTAATATTTTAGACACTATTCGAAGTACCTTTCGCCCTCTATAACAGTGCTCTATATACATATTAGCATCCTGATTAGTCATCACATGCAACATGTAATAGTTTTGTATCTCTCTTAACCAAATTTATAATAAAATTAAAAAAATATTATTTATGAAAATAAATTATGTAGAACGAAATGTCTACTTTGCATATACACTTATAGTTGTCGGTAGAAATTAAAATATTTTTTTAAGGTGAATACTTCATATAATATTAAAAAAAATTTGCAATCATGCATATTTCAATAACAAAGATAAATCTAGTTAATAAGATAACAAGTTGTTAAATTCATTTAATTAAGATGAATCATGCATATTTTAAAAACATATTATTTTTTTTGCAACATATAACAATTTTAATTTACTTATATAGTTTTAAATAAATTATATAAATTAAGTTATTAATTATATTCTTTTTTCAAATAATAAAAAAAATTAATAAAAAAACCTTAAAAATTAAGAAATATATAATTTTAAGTTTTTTATTTTATTATTGTTATAATATTTATATTTTTAATATTTATAAAAATTAAAAA